GTTGTAGCTTTTGAGTTAAAAGAGGTGCATAGCAAACTTGTGTCAGAGCTGCCTTTGCTGGAGCAGAAGCAGATTCTCTCAATAATGACGTATGAAATTTAGAAAGTGAATTTCTCAACTGCAAGTCTAATTAGCAACCAAAGAGTAAAGGTGTTTTTGTTTGTTTTGTTTATGTTTTGTATTTCACTGAGATAAAATTTTCCAACCCAAAGAAAAGTGAAGTTTAACAGGTCTATAACTGGAGCCTTGGGAGTCTCACACACAATCACTTCCATTAGTCTAGTCAACCATTCTTTTCTGGAAGTTTGCCATGTAGAAACAAAAGGAGAACACTGAAAACAGCCCAGATACATGGGAAGCAACTTGGAATCACTGTCTGCTTCATCTATTACAAAGAAAGATCTGCCACATATGTCACGCCACTGTTATAGAAACATGGAAAAATTTTCTGTGGAGCATTTTCTAGATATGTTAGATATAAAATACCAAATGAGTATCTAAACTCCCAGATCTTTGAAGAACATATAGATTTGGGCTTACAGCTCTCCCACAAAAACCAAACAACCCAATTCAAAAATGGGCAAAGGATGTGAATAAATATACAATAGCCAGTAAGCACATGAAAAAGTGTTCAATATCACTAGTCATTAGGGAAATAAAAATCAAAACCACAATGAGATACCACTTCACACCCATTAGAATGGGTACTATTTTTTTTTAAAATGAAGGAGGAAGGAAGAGAGGAAGAAAAACAAGTGTTGGTAAGGGTGTGGAGAAATTGGCACCTTTGTGCATTGCTGGTGGGAATGTAAAATGGTGCAGCCATTATGTAAAACAGTTTGGTGATTTCTCAAAAGTTAAACATAAAATTACCATATGATCCAGCAATTCCACTCCTAGGCACATACCCAAAAGAACTGAAAGTAGATACTTGTATACTAATGTTCCCAGCAGCATTATTCACAATAGCCAAAAGGTAGAAACAACCCAAGTGTCCATCAACAGATGAATAAACAAAATGTGTTATATATATACAAGGGAATATTATTCAGCCTTAAGAAGAAATAAAATTCTCATTCATGCTACAATATGAACCTTAAGTATTATTCTAAGTGAAATAAGCCAGATACTAAAGGACAAATGTATGACTCCATTTATATGAGGTACATATACTAGGCAACATAAAGACAGAAAGTAGAATAAAGATCACCAGGAGGTGGGGGGAGGAGAGAATGGGGAGTTATTGTTTGATGCGTACAAAGTCTCTTTGGGATGATGAAAGAGTTTCAGAAATAGATAGTGGTGATTGTTATACATCATTGTGAATGTACTTTATGACATTCACAAATTATACACTTAAAAATGGTTAAAATGGTAAATTTTGTTATATAGACTTTAACCACAATTTAAAAAAAACATAAATCCACCTCAACCCACATAAAACTAAAATAAGACGTCTAAAGTCCTTGGGCCATGTATAATGCCACAAAAATGTTTGATAACTACATCTGGCAAGCAGCTCAGTCCAGGAATGTGATACCATAATAGCATAATAAATACCAAAAGGCTCTGAAGCAGATTTCTCTTACTGGTTAAAACAGATGGAATTTTTTCATTAAAAAAAAAAGAAGAAAAATATTAGAGCTTTTTGATGGTTATGTTGTTAATAGATTCTGAACAAAGATTAGTTCAGAGACCAAATAGATGGCATGTGCTTTATCACACATCAGGAAAACATGTATAATCAGACTCTAAAGTGTTTTCTATTGATAGCAACTGGTTAAAACCAATATGTGGCCTTTTTGTACATTTTAAAACCTGAGAATAATTATGAGGTAAATAATAGAGGCAGAACACTCCTACTTTCAGCCAAGATGGAGTAAGGACTGGATTTACCCTACTATCAGTTTCTTTTTTTAATTTTAGTTGTGGCATGCGGTATCCTTTAGTTGAGGCATGCGGACTTCTTAGTTGTGGCATGCAGACTCTTAGTTGTGGCATGTGGACTTCTTACTTGTGGCATGCATGCAGGATCTAGTTCCCCAACCAGGGATCGAACCTGGGCCCCCTGTAATGGGAGTACGAAGTCCCACCTACTGGACCACCAGGGAAGTCCCTACCCTACTATCTGAAACAACTAAAAATCAGGACAAAGCATATGAAAGAACAGTTCTCAAGACATTAGCCATTAGGCAATAAAGGACAGTGATGCATGAGAGATAGGGAACAAACAAGGTGAACCCCATGATTGTTCCAGTTTCCAGAAACCTAGAGAAACAGCAGAATGTATTAAGTAGAGACATGGAAGATATTAAAAAGTCTTAAAATGAAATTCTAGAAATAAAAACTACAACATCTGAGATGATAGATACACTGGATGGAATTAAAGGCAGGTTAAATGTTGCAGAAGAAAAGATTAGTGAACTTGAAGACAAAACAATGGAAACTATCCAAAAAGAAATACCAAAAAAAAAAAAAAAAAAAAAAAAAGAGAGAGAGAGACACTCTAAAAAAGCAAAGCAAGAAAGAAAAGATGAGAGCAATAGTGAGATATGGGACTTCAGGAGGCCTAATATGTGTATAATCAGTCTCCAAAGGAGAGGGAAAGAAATAATGGCCAAAAAGTTTCCAAATTTGATGAAAACTGTAAATCCACATATATGAGAAGCTTAATGAACACAAAGGATAAGAAAAATCACTCCTTGTCTTCAGGTTTCAGCTAAAATGGCACCATCTCAGAGAAGTCTTCCCTTACCACCAAACCTTAAGTAGCATTATGGAATTATCTTGTCTTAAAAATTGTTTACTTTTTATTGCATATCCCTAAATCCTCCCCTCAGTGTAAGCTCCACAAGGACAGGCCCTTTTCTGCATTCTTTACTAGAACAAACACATAGGCACTGTGTTCCCAGGACCTAGCAGAGCACCTAGCATTGAAAAGGTACTCAATACATATTTTATGAGTTAATGAATAATTTTATCCATTCCTAACCTTTAGTAAAGAATTCCTGTTTCAAAATCCTTCTCAAATGATCAAAACCATTCTTTTTGCATTCCCAACATTTCCTTTTGCTCCCAGATTAATATAATGTTGCCATTGAACAATAAAGCATTTATTAGTACTAACTGTCTTTCCCTAAAAGTAGTCACCTTGCCATTTCTCGAGGAATGACCTATAAGAAAACAGTGCTTCCAGGCCACATTGACTCCAGGCAAGGCTCTGGCAACACTGCTGCCAAGTTTGACATCCACCTTTCCAGAGAACATATTCTTAGTTCTCCAGTAGAACATCATTTCCATCAAAACAGCGGTTTACTGGACAGATATTATAGGCAAACATTTTACACTTTATATATATTATTTATTTAATCTATGATGAGATTACAGATAAGGCAATTGAGGCCTAGGAAGGTGAAGTAATGTACCTAGTCACATGACTAGTAAGTAGCAGAATATAAACCTCAGTCTGTTTGACTCCAAAATGTTGTTCTTTATACAACACTGAGATGAAATTTAAAGTGTTATGAAATTGCAGCTAAGTATCAAACAGCACATATCTCTGTAGGAGGGATATAACTTTCAGCCTGCTTTCCATCTAATAAAATGAAAAAGACAAAATTAGTAGCTCAATCACAGAGCCTCTACTATTGTCTGAGATGATGATAATCAACAACACTTGCGTCAGCCAAGGTATTTTTCTCTTAAAGCTCGGAAGATTTAAAGCTAGGAAGACCTGAAGTCTTGAATAGAGGGAAATTATTTTACAAACATTCATGTATCAAAGATATGTGACTATACAAAGAAAATGAAGTTTCTACATTCTAGAAGATTGGTTGAAGGGAAACAGAATACCTTTCATTAACTTTAAGATGTACTTTTTCATTTTTCACATTTCAGCATCTCTGAAATTCATGTGCATCTTACAATCAATAGTGTCTGACCATCACCCAGGCAGCAGTTTATGATGTGGCTATCAAGTTACATGAGTGAATTCAGCCATAGCCATTCATATTATCATTGTTTCTATGTCTAAATAAGTCCAAAATAACTTTTTTAAAAAGTTGTTCAAAATATATTTTTCCTTTTTTATGGAGATATAACTGACATATAACGTTGTACAGTTTAAGTTGTAAAATGTGTTGGTTTGATTCATTTACATATTGCCATAGGGTTACTACAGTAGTGCTAGCTAACACCTTTATCATGGCACATATTTATAATTTCTTTTTTTATAGTGAGAATAGTTAAGATTTAGTCTCTTAGCAATTTTGAAGTTTGTAATACAGTATTGTGGACTATAATCCCTATGTTGTGCATCAGATTTCCAGATCTTATTTATCCACTAGTTGTAAGTTGGTACCCTTATACAGCATCTTCTCAGTGCCCCCACCCCCAGCCCCTGGTGACCACCATCCTAATCTCTGTCAAAATAAGTTTTTTTTAACTTCATGCTGTTTTACCTTTATTGGGGTTTGTTTTCTAATAATAAGAACAATTTATATAATTTGTGAAGAAAAAAAAAACACTTCAGAATATACAGTAAAGTATACAAAGAAGGAAACTGAGATAACACTGTTGATAGGTAATATTTTCCACAATTTTTGCACAGGTGCGTATATATGTGTGTGTATATATATGTATATATATATATACATATATATGTGTGTGTGTGTACACATAAAACTGGAAAACACATACATACATACACACTGTAATATTACATCTATATCAGTTAACTAATCTATACTTTTCACAATATGATACTATCAGATGCAGGTTTGCATTATGCATTTCTAACCTGGCAACAAGTTGTGAACATTCTCTGCATCAGTAAATGGCTTTCCCCAGCGTGGTTTCTAACAATGACAGATTCACTCAACATGTGCTGCATCCCATTTAAGCAATTCCCGGTTATTGGGCATGTATAGGTTGTTCCATTTCTCTGTCCCTGGCAATGTTGAGAAGGGGCATACCTGATGGTCCCATGGTGTCGGATAAGGAAGTGGGGGAGTTGGAACCCTCCTTGCCCATCTGGTCTTGTCTTCTATGTCTGAGGTGGGTGGTCATGTAGCCCAATTTGCCCTGGTAGAGTAATGTCTGATCAGGGTATGAATGAGGAATGCACAGAAGAGGACACTGCCCACTGCTGTCACCATGATGAGAAATACCAGCAAGGATCCTGAGATAGTGAAACCTTTGCTAAAAGCAGTCCTGTGCCAGGGCACCTGGAGTTGGACTTCCTGATATCTGTATCTGCCCATCTGGTCCCAGATCAGATTCAGGAAGGTAATTTTTTCTCTGAGAAGTTCAGGAGGAAGTGGATCCACTGGTACTTGAATCCACAGTGGAAGTGGATCCACTGGTACTTGAATTCTGGTCTGAAATAGGAGATACACTCCATCTCCACCTGGGAGCCCATCTCAGCAGGCAGGATGCCATTGAAGTTACGGCGCTTACTCCTGATCAGCACACTGGAGGGACCATAGGTCAATGTCGGAAAGATTACTTCACTTCTCTCAATAATCTGTGGGAGGATTTCTATCCCACACTGAAGTGGTGAGTTGCAGCTACTGATCCTTTGGATGATGAGTGTCTTGTTGTCTGGGGAGACTGTCATGTGGTCATAGCTGGACACCTGTGTGTAACTCACATACCACTTGACGTTGGTGGCACTGGTATGGCAGACAGCAGCCACGGAATCCATGTTTTCTGCCCACGGAGCTAATGTTGACTGAGATGCCTGGGATTTCCAACTCTCGAATCTCAGGCCAGCCAGTTGCTCTCTGGGTCCCGTTGCTGGCTTCTACCCACACAGTGTAGCTCCCTGTATCACTTAATTGAGACCCCCTGATCAGCAGTCACCTGTCATGTACATTCTTTCCCGGCTGTTGAACATGGGCCCATGCCACAAGGACCAGCTCCCCCCAGAGGCTGCATCTATGTCTGGAAAGGTCCATGAGCTGCGTACGTCCTCCTGGTGGAGGGGTCTCTCTAGGGACCAGGAAGCCTCTTATGCCCCTTCACAGACCTGCATCAAAATAACTTTTAAATAAGTATAAAATTAAAATTCTAAAGGTTGCTTATTTCTTTCTTAGTATTACATAAAATAAGGGTGTGGCTCACAGTTGATGATGTCTTAGATTTAATGAAGTTCAATATTTCATTTGGGAAGACACTTTTATTGGCCTTTTGGTTATGAACAGGTTGGCACCCCTATCCCTTCAGGCCCCCACCCCCAATATGGGAGGCACAGCTCAACAAAACCACAGGAATTTTCCATTCTTCAACATACATTCAGGCAGCCAAAGGATTGGGGCTCCTGAGAAAGAAAGGTGATGGGACAAAGAGAAAGGGCTCTGTAGGCAAAGGCTTGATGTCAATGAAGAAACAAGCAAGTGCAAGTTTTAAAGCTGAAGTAGTCAGCAGTAGTAGCAACAGCATAATCACACTATCTCTAAGCACCTAAACAAGTCAGGCACCAAGTGCTTTACATTAACTCATTTAATCCTGTAACAACTATATGAATTAGGTACAATTTTTATGTCCACCTCAGAAGTTCAGAAAGGCTAAGTAACTTGTTCAAGGTCACATGGCCAATAAGAATGACCTTAGTTAATTCCCTAGTCAGTTCCATGCAGTAGTGATGTCTAGAAAGCTTTACAGACCAAGATATATGTGGAGGGCATATTACAGCCAAGTGAAGGGTCTATCAGGTGAACACTCACTGTCAACTGCAAAAAATGTGAAGAGTTGAGTTAGGGACAATCCAGGAGCTTATGTCCCTAGCATAAGATTTAGAGAAGACTTAGAAAATTGTGGGTTACATAAGGAGTACAGTCAATTGATAGAGATAATGCCCAAACAAATGGGATTATCACTAGGGTGGAAGGCTGAATGGAAGTGAAGATATTCAAGCAAGGACCTTACCCCTCTAAGGATCTGATAGATTCTTCTCATTAGGATTCAAGCCTGTCCCAATCATCATACTGTTGTCTTAGGGAGATGAGAAAGGAGGATAAAACTTATATGGAAATAAAAAAGTCCCTGAATGTCCAAATAAGTGCTGAGAAAGAAGAACAAAGCAGGGGTCATCACATTTCCTGATTTTAAGCTATACTATAAAGCTATAGTAATCAAAACAGTATGGTACTGGCAAACACCAGTGAGCCTATAATTGGCCCCAGCCCTTGCTACCTGCTTTGGCCCCCTCTGCCACTACATAGGCACCTGCAGCTGGCCCCTGCAGCCGAGTATGTGCACACCACTGGCTCCATCCACCACCACTGCCTGCCCTGCTACCAGTCTTGGAGGTGCCACTTAGGAGCCCAAAAGATCTTGAAGCCACAGAATTCCTGCAGTGCTTGCCAAGGACCACACAGTTGTCAATACTGTGGACCCCAATGTCCTGGAGCCAAAGAGACATCATATACCATTGGACCCAGTGCCACCATGCACCTTTCCACATGGCACTCTGCATCACTAGATCAGGGTCACAGAATAACCAGTATGGGTCCCTATCAGCAGGTAGAAGGCTTCCCTTAACAAAATCAGTCAGTAAAGTCTGGAGGACGTGACTGCTTCTTCAAATGTGCAGATACCTATACAACACTACAGGGGTCATGGAGAATCAGGGGAAACATGTCTCCATCAAAAGAATACAGTAAAATTCCAGTATCTGACTGCAAAGAAATGGAAATCCAGGAATTGCCTGACAAAGAATTCAAAATAATTCTTCTATGAATGCTCAGAGAGCTACAAGAGAACACAGATGAAAAATTTAATGCTATCAGGAAAACAATACAGGAACAAAATGAGAACCTCAAAAAAGAGATAGAAAACATAAAAAAAGAACCAAACAGAAAATCTGGAGCTGTAGAATACAATGACTGAAATAAAGAATTGAATAGAAAGCTTCAAGAGCAGACCTGAACAAGCAGAAGAGCGAATTGGTGATCCAGAGGACAGATTGATTGAAATTTTACAAACAGAAGAGCAAAAAGAAAAAAGAATGAAAAGGAGTGTAGAAAGCCTACAGAAGTTATGGGACACCATCAAAAGAAATAATGTGTACTAGGGGAGAAAGGAATAGAAAGCTTATTTCAATAAATAATGGCTGAGAAATTCTGAAATATGGGGAGAGATTAGGCCATCAAAGTTCATGAAGCAAATATGTCACCTCAAACTCTCAATCCAAAACGTTTTTCTCTAAGACACATAGTAATAAAAGTGTCTAGGACTTCCCTGATGGTGCAGTGGTTAAGAATCCACCTGCCAATGCAGGGGACACGGGTGTGAGCCCTGGTCCGGGAAGATCCCACATGCTGCAGAGCAACTAAGCCCATGTGCCGCAACTACTGAGCCTGCCCTCTAAAGCCTGTGAGCCACAACTGCTGAGCCCATGTGCCACAACTAATGAAGCCCACGTTCCTAGAACCCTGCTCTGCAAGGAGAAGCCACTGCAATGAGAAGCCCATACACCACAATGAAGAGTAGCCCCCACTCGCTGCAACTAGAGAAAGCCTGCGCACAGCAATGAAGACCCAACACAGCCAAAAATTAATTAATTAATTACGTTTTTTTAAAGTGTCTAAAAACAAAGGCAAAGAGATAATTTTAAAAGAAACAAGAGAGGGCTTCCCCGGCAGTCCAGCGGTTAAGACTTCCACTCCAGGGGGCACGGATTTGATCTCTGGTCAGGGAACTAAGACCTCGCATGCTGCACATCATGGCCAAAAAAAAAAAGAAGCAAGAGAAAAAAATATCTCTCATACAAAGGAACCCCCATAAGGCTATCAGTGGATGTCTCAGCAGAGACATTACAGCCCAGGAGAAAATGAGCTAATATATTCAAAGTGCTATAAGAAATAAACTACCAAAGATTGTGGACTAGGAGGACGTGGAATTCGCGTCTCTGCACAACTAGGGCACCTACCAGGCACTGGTGGGGGACCACAGACACCTAAGGGGATGGGAGGAATCCCCAGCGACCGGGTAGGTTGTGGGGTGGGGAGTGACGGGGGAGGGGAGGGGGAGGGGGGACAGGACCAGTGCCCCTGAGGGGCGGCTGGGGGAATGGAAGGGATCACACGCCCAGAGGGGGAAAGGGGGGCACCATTGGAAGGTCAGAGGATCAGAAGGGAGCGTAGCCAATGTTTCCCCTGTGCAGTTGGGCCCTGGGGAGCCTGCTGAGACCCCGGGCCTGATCCTCTGCCAACCAAGGTCCCCTCCAACAGCATGGGTTCTGAGGGAGTGGGAGGGAGGGAAGGGGGAGCAAAAGTAAAGGCCAGACGGACAGGACTGGCACCCCTGGGGGGCGGCGGGTGGAGAGTAGAAGTTCCCACACATGGTGGGACCCACCCACACTTCAGCAGCAAGGGGAGATGCTTGGGAGAGTGGAGGAACGGAAGGGAGCATGGCCAACACTTTCCCTGCTGACTTGGGCACCAGGGAGCCTCTTGGTCTCCTGGGCTTAATACTGTGCCTTCAGAGGCTCCCTCCAGCATTGCAGACCCTAAGCCCTGCCCCTACACCCCCACTCAGAGCCCTACTTCTACAAGCGACACTCAGAGACCACCTCTGAGACCCGCTCCAACCACACTGGGCCTAAACCTCGCCCACAAACGCTCACTCACAGCTTACCTCCAAACTCTGGAGCTCCACTCTCCAAGGCCCCCCTCAGAACTGCCTTTCCCCTGTCACCAGGTCCTAAGCCTAGGTCCCACCCCACTCTTGAATGTCGCCCCGCCTAGGCCCCGCCCCCAAGGCCTTTTCCAGCTGCATGGGTCTTGAGCCTAGTCCTCACGCCCACCCTAAACCCCACCTCGCCTAAGCTCCGCCCCCCACAGCCAAGGCCTTTTCTGGCATTTTTTTTGCTTTCTTCTTTTAGGTTGTGGTTCTGTTTTAACCCATTGTTGCTGATTCATCTATATTATACTTTCTTCTAATAAATCTTTCATTTTTCTAATTTTATTTTATTATTTATAATTTGTTACTGTTCTGCTCCTTTGGGGATGTTCCCCCCTCTCTTGTTTTTACTTTTTTTTTCTTTCTCTTTTCTGTTGTGGTTCTGTTATACCTTGTTGTAGTTCTTTCAATTATATTTTTATTTTTCCTAATATATTTTTTATCTTTCTAATTCCTAAAACTTAAAAATTTTTTTAATGTTTATTTTCTTATTGATCATCCATTTTATACACAACAGTGTACACATGTCAATCTCAACCTGTCAATTCATCACACCCCAACCCCAACCCCCTGCTGCTTTTCCCCCTTGGTGTCCATACGTTTGTTCTCTACTTCTGTGTCTCAATTTCTGCTCTGCCAACCGGTTCATCTGTACCATTTTCTAGGTTCCACATATATGTGTTAATATACGATATTTGCTTTTCTCTTTCTGACTTACGTCACTCTGTATGACAGTCTCTAGATGCATCCACGTCTCTACAAATGACCCAATTTCGTTCCTTTCTATGGCTGAGTAATATTCCACTGTATATATGTACCACATCTTCATTACCATTCGTCTGTCAATGGGCATTTAGGTTGCCTCCATGACCTGGCTATTGTAAATAGTGCTGCAATGAACATTGGGGTGCATGTGTCTTTTTGAATTATGGTTTTCTCTGGGTATATGCCCAGTAGTGGGATTGCTGGTTCATATGGTAATTCTATTTTTAGTTCTTTAAGTAAAGTCCATACCGTTCTCCATAGTGGCTGTATCAATTTACATTCCCACCAACAGTGCAAGAGGGTTCCCTTTTCTCAACACCCTCTCCAGCATTTGTTGTTTGCAGATTTCCTGATGATGCTCATTCTACCTGGTGTCAGGTGATACCTCATTGTAGTTTTGATTTGCATTTCTCTAATAATAAGTGATGTTGAGCAGCTTTTCATACGCTTCTTCACCATCTGTATGTCTTCTCTGGAGAAATGTCTATTTAGGTCTTCTGCCCATTTTTGGATTGTGTTGTTTTTTTTAATATTGAGCTGCATGAGCTCCTTATATATTTGGGAGATAAATCCTTTGTCCAATGATTCATTTGCAATTATTTTCTCCCATTCTGAGGGTTGACTTTTCGTCTTGTTTATGGTTTCCTTTGCTGTGCAAAAGCTTTGAAGTTTCATTAGGTCCCATTTGTTTATTTTTGTTTTTATTTACATTTCTCTAGGAGGTGGGTCAAAAAGGATCTTGCTGTGATTTATGTCAAAGAGTGTTCTTCCTAAGTTTTCCTCTAAGAGTTTTATACTGTCCTGTCTTACATTTAGGTCTCTAATCCATTTTGAGTTTATTTTTGTGTATGGTGTTAGGGAGTGTTCTAATTTCATTCTTTTACATGTAGCTGTCCAGTTTTCCCAGCACCACTTATTGAAGAGACTGTCTTTTCTCCATTGTATATCCTTGCCTCCTTTGTCATAGATTGTTGACCATAGGTGTGTGGGTTTATCTCTGGGCTTTCTATCCTGTTCTATTGATCTATATTTCTGTTTTTCTGCCAGTACCATATTGTATTGATTACTGTAGCTTTGTAGTATTGTCTGAAGTCAGGGAGTCTGATTCCTCCAGCTCCATTATTTTCCCTCAAGACTGCTTTGGCTATTTGGGGTCTTTTGTGTCTCCATACAAAATTTTAAGATTTTTTGTTCTGGTTCTGTAAAAAATGCCATTGGTAATTTGATAGGGATTGCATTGAATCTGTAGATTGCTTTGGGTAGTATAGTCATTTTCACAATATTGATTCTTCCAATCAAAGAACATGGTATATGTCTCCATCTCTTGGTACCATCTTTAATTTCTTTCATCAGTGTCTTATAGTTTTCTGCATACAGGTCTTTTGTCTCTCTAGGTAGGTTTATTCCTAGGTATTTTATTCTTTTTGTTGTAATGGTAAATGGGAGTGTTTCCCTAATTTCTCTTTCAGATTTTTCATCATTAGTGTATAGGAATGCAAGAGATCTCTGTGCATTAATTTTGTATCCTGCAACTTTACCAAATTCATTGATTAGCTCCAGTAGTTTTCTGGTGGCATCTTTAGGATTCTCTATGTATAGTATCATGTCATCTGCAAACAGTGACAGTTTTAATTCTTTTTTTCCCAGTCTGCAGTCCTTTTATTTCTTTTTCTTCTCAGATTGCTGTTCCAAGGACTTCCAAAACTATGTGGAATAATAGTGGTGAGAGTGGACATCCTTGTTTGTTCCTGATCTTAGAGGAAATGCTTTCAGTTTTGCACCATTGAGAATGATGTTTGCTGTGGGGTTGTTGTATATGGCCTTTATTATGTTGAAGTAGGTTCCCTCTATCCCCACTTTCTGGAGAGTTTTTTATCATAAATGGGTGTTGAATATTGTCAAAAGCTATTTCTGCATCTATTGAGATGATCATATGGTTTTTATTCTTCAATTTGTTAATATGGTGTATCACAT